ATATTTTCATATTATATATTATATATGGGGAGGAGGCCTCTTTCTCACCTCTCATACTGCCATCTTTAATCTCTTCCCCTGGTTACCTTCTTATCTCTAGATTGCTAGTTTTTATACTTATTAGTTTGTAGGTGGTAATACAAAGGTTAAAATATTTAATCTAATCTATACCAATTTCTTCTGGAGAATGGCCTCTGAAGTTAAACAGAAAACAAATACAAAATAACTTTTTCGGAAATGTGAAATGTTTGTACGTTTATTTATAACCAATTAATTGTAGTTTGTGTTTGCTTAGATTTTTCTTGGAAAATTATATCAATGATTACTGAAAACTTTTTCTATTAGTAATGTCTTTTTTTTTTTAAGTGAAACTTTATTTGGAACTCCCTAGTATATACAACAGTGAAAGTATTGGGATGGAGGTGGGGGACAGGAGAAAGAAAAATGGAAAGAAAAAAAATGTGTGGTGTGGAGTGTTCTGAGGCTTTCCTCTAGATCACAGTTTGAAAAACTCTGATGTAGCCCAGAATGTAGGGCATCTGCCCTGAAACATTTTTTTTCAGTAAAATATATTTAGATTTTTTCCAAGTTGGGGGTGAGTAGATTGAGTATATAAGGAATTCCAAATATAACTCAGGATAAAACCATTCAGCCTAGGAATATACAATAATATTGATCTAGATGGAAATAGATAATGAGATGTTTCAAATAATGGGAGCCAAGTTTCAGTTTAGGTGAAATGAAGCCATATCAGGCATGTTTTTAAAACATTAGCACTGTACACAAGGAAAAGGGAAGCAAAAAGGAAATAACTTTTAAATTAAAAGACCATAATAATAGAAATTTTTGGCAGAAAATCCATGTAAAAAAAATGCCCTCTACGTAATTAATATGTTAGGAAGAGGAAAATTAAAATGCAGTGAGATACTATTTTATATACACCAGGTAGGTAAAAATGTAGAAATCCACTAGTAGCAAACATTGGTGAGGATGTGCAGCAATAAGAAAATACTTTGCTGGTTGGAGTTTATTAGTCGATACACTCATTTTGGAAAGTAATTTGTTATCTTGTCAACTTTAACAGGTTTCTACTTCAGATTTATCACTCTCATTTCTAGATATTTACCCTGAGTACTGGTTTTCCAAATATGGTTACAGGATACCCAGGGGTTGTTGAAATTTTTCTGTGGAGTTTTTCAGTCCGAACTACATATGTATCATATAGTTCTGGTGCAACTGTACAAGTCACACAAGTTTATAGTGTAATTTTCCACTGTATGATAAAATCATTGCTGATAACTGATGCAGCATGTATTTGAAAAGATATATCAGTTTTAGTTTCTATTATCGTAATTACCTATAGCTATAATCTACCTCAACAAAAGCTTTTTGAGGTTCTCTAATTTTAAAGAGCTGAAACCACTGCCTTAGACCACTGACTTTCATTCATAGTGTAATCCCCAGACCAACAGCATTATCATCATGGGGGAACTAGTTAGAAATGTAAATTATCAGGTCCCATTTCAAACTTACTCAAACAGGAACTGTGAGGACTGGGGCCCACCAATTATAGCAAGCCCTCCTGGTGAAATTCTCATCAGCAGTGAGAACCACTCTTCTAGGGAAACTCAGGAACCATATTTAGGAATGTTAGTGTTAATAGTAGTAGTAGTAGTAGTAGTAGTAGTAGTAGTAGTAGTAGTAGTAGTAGTAGTAGTAGTAGTAATAGTAATATCAAAAATGTGGATGCAACTCTAATGTCCAATAACAGGAGAATGGATAATAAATTGTGGCATGCTTACATGAAAGTAAAGCAAAAATAAGTGATATGTTGTTACACTTACCAACATAAATGATCCTTAAAAAATACCAAAGGAAAAGAGTAAGCCAACAGAATACATAATCATTCCATTATAAAAGTTGGTGAATTTGCAAAATCTCTGTGTGTACTGTTTAAGGTTATATATGTTTTTAATTTAAAAACAAGAATAAAGAAAGAATATTTAACAAATAACCTTTTGGAGTTTGAGATCTAAAAAGATAAGCAGAAAGCCTGTGATACTGGTAATATTCAGTTTCTTGGAGCTGGGTCTTTATCCTGTTTTTATTATATATAAAAAATATTTTTCTGTACAAATAAATTACAGTTTGCCCTTGATCAACATCCATTTGAACTGCACAGGTTTCCTTATAGGCAGATGTTTTTTTCAATAAATTTATTGGCAATTTTTTCTTTGAGGTTTGCAACAATTCGAGAAAGCATTTTCTTTAGCATACTTTATTGTATGAATATAGTATATAATATATGTAACATTCAAAACATGGTAATTGACTGTGTTTCCAATAAGGTTATCAACATCAGGCTATTTATTAGTAAAGTTTTTGGGGAATCAGAAGTTATATGCTGATTTTTGACTGCATGTGGCGGGGGTGGGGGTTCATGCCCCTAACTCCTGAGTTGTTCATGAGTTGGTTTTTCTTTTGTGTGTGTGTGTGTGTGTGTGTGTGTGCCATTTCATACAATTATGTATCAGTGTATATGTAACATGTATATATGTTTGTTTATATATAACATGTAATTATATATGTTAATCATATACCCATTGGCATTTTTTATTTCTTATATTTTTTATTATATTTTATTTTTTTAATTATATTTTATATTTTATATTTTTATAAAATATATTTTATTAATTTTATTTGTATTATATATTTTTATATTATTATTATTATAAAATACTAAAATATAATCATAGTTGGAAGTGCTAAATAGTTGGTGTTCAGTTTTAGATTGCCAAGAATAATAACTCAGATATCATATACCTTTTATACAAATCAGTGAAATATACAAATCTTTTTTTTATTTTAGAGATTTCCATTAAAAATGGTTAAAGGGTTATTTCTAAACCTGTGGAAAGTCTAGTTGCCCAAAATTACTTATTTATAAAGTATCTTGAATAGAGTACTATTTTTTAAATGTGTGTCTATTTAGAAAATGAGCATGTAGATGACTGAAATTATTAGTGATTACCTATGGCTTGGGAGCTCCAAAATGTTAAATATTAGCATTTATTTTAATGAGCAACCTCTGCTGTATAGGTATGTCTACTGACTTGTATGACCTCTAGGAGAGGTTAGACACCTGAATGAAAATAATCTAGAATGCTGTCTTTTTACTTAGTCATGGTTAGATGTTTGGGTGGGCAAAGAAGGTAATATTAATCCTGAAGTTACCTTTGGAAAGTATATGTAACTTTAGAGACTTTGAACTTTATTAACCTTTTAAATATTAAACTTCTGAAATGTTTATAAAGATGACATTAAATAAAATTTTAAGTATTATTAATACTTTAGTCAGTTTAGATAAGCATAGTTTAAAAAAAAGTTGCTTTGGGTGTAGTATGGAGAAAAACCCTCCAAGTATAGAGAAATATAATGAATTTTCTACACAAAGTTGCCTTAAAATGTTCATAACTCTACATTCTAAAATTTTTCGTCAGTTATAAAATTTTAAATGATAAGGAAAGATATTCTTTTTTTTTTTTGAGAGGGCATCTCTCATATTTATTGATCAAATGGTTGTTAACAACAATAAAATTCTGTATAAGTTAGTCAGTGCTCAATGCACAATCATTAATCCACCCCCAGCCTAATTCTCGTCAGTCTCCAATCTTCTGAAGCATAACGAACAAGTTCTCACATGGTGAACAAATTCTTACATAGTGAATAAGTTCTTACATGGTGAACAGTACAAGGGCAGTCATCACAGAAACTTTCGGTTTTGATCACGCATTATGAACTATAAACAATCAGGTCAAATATGAAGTCGTTTGATTTTTATACTTGATTTATATGTGGATCCCACATTTCTCCCTTTATTATTATTATTATTTATTTATTTATTTTAAATAAAATGCTGAGGTGGTAGGTAGATGCAAGATAGATAAAGGTAGAAAACATAGCTTAGTGTTGTAAGAGAGCAAATGTAGATGATCAGGTGTGTGCCTGTAGACGATGTGTTAATCCAAGCTAGACAAGGGCAATAAAACATGGATGCAGAAGATTTCTCTCAAAACAGGGGGGGTGAGGTTCTAAGCCTCACCTCTGTTGATCCCCAATTTCTCAACTGATAGCCCCACTGCGACTGTGCCTGTCTTAGGTTGTTCCTCCCTTGAGGAATCTTACCCGTCTCTGGCTAACCAGTCATCTTCCAGGGCCATACAGGGAAATGTAAAGTTGGTAACTGAGAGAGAGGCCAACTTTGAAAAGGTTAGCTTTTTACTTCTTTGCAGATTTATGCCCTGTGGCTTCTATGCCCAGCATTTGTCTTGAGGTAGGAAAGATGATATTCTTAAAATTTTGGAGATACACAAATCTGACATAACATGTAAGTACTTTGAAACTAGAAATATTGTGTCTCAGAACAATAATTCTACTATAATATGCATTGGTAATAACTAATAAAACATTCAAAGAAATGTCGTAGTATATGTAGAAATATGTGTAACTGTTTAAATTTTATAATTTAACTTGGATTTGGTTGGATAGATTCTTATACTGTCCTTCTGAAGATTTGGCAACAGAAAGGAAGAAGTTTTAAACCAGATACTAATATATTCACATCTAAAAACTGATGCTTTCCACCTCAGATCTTTGGGAACTCATTTTGTTGGAGAGACACAGTTTACATATAAAAGCTATGCATTGTAAAATGATATAGAAAAAAATTATACTAGCAAAATACCATTTGGGATTATGATAAATTAGGTTTCAGAATGGTACTTAATTACTTCAGCATTCCACACAGTTTTCCTTATGTTTTGTGACTTCAGAGATAGAGCTATTTGTATTTTATCTTTACTTTTCTCTTTATTTTGTTCTTTGGGCTTTGAAAAGTAATAAATATTTCTTACAGAGTACCCCCATTTTTGTTCTGCCATTGGAAGTGACATAAAAATGCTCAAGTTCTTTTTTTGGTTGCCTTTAACTAATTCTTTTAGCAGCCCCGGGCTCAGCTCCTGGTTCCCAGTATGGCACAATGACCAGGCAGATTTCTCGACACAACTCTACCACTTCCTCGACATCTTCTGGTGGATACAGACGAACTCCCTCTGTGACTGCTCAATTTTCTGCTCAGCCTCATGTTAATGGAGGCCCACTTTATTCTCAGAATTCAAGTAAGCTGTGCTTTGCAGGCATACAGCAACAGTGGAGCTCCTTTTGAAGGAAATTATTTGAAACCATTACTCTTGCCAGTGATAGACAACAATTGAAAACGTCCTGTTTCATGTTCATTTTTGCTTTAGGAAGTTAGTCCTTGAATCATACCATTTTAAAAATAGTACTTTCCCTCAAAATTGCAGACTTGCAAAGTCTATTTACATATTAAAATTTAACTGATAATTTAGTAATATTTTTGTTACTGTAAGTAGAACTGGAGAAAAAAAACATAATTTAATATGGATGAATTTGTTTATTGGTATGTTTGAGAAAGTTCAATAATGGTAAAATTAAAACAGTTGTGAAAATTTTTCCTATACAAAATTGCTGGCTATCACTTTTAATTTAAGCTTGTTAACCTGTACAGAAATGAGTTCAAAATCATTAAAAAACACTTGTGAGCCTGCTTATTCTGTCTCTAATAATTGTAACATGGGGAGGATTTTCTTTTGATTTCATTCTGTTCACCTCAAATTGCACATCTCAACACTAACTGCAATCAATGTTTAAAGGCTGAGAAGATTAGAAAGAAGTTTTGGCATTAAAAAAAATGTCAGGAAGTTTGAATTGCTTAGGGTGGTCATTAATTCACTTTATATATTAAGATGCTTAATTCAAAAAGGAAAAAAAGATAAATTTGAAAATGACCCTATTGTCCTGTATTATTGACACAGTGATCACTGGGCAGACTGAAATACTGTCCCATGTGGCTTTTGTAGCAACTTTCTAAAGATACATGTTATAGTTGCTTACCTAAAAACACTGAATACTCCATGTTTACAAAGGAGGCTGGGTTTAATTTTAAGTTATTTATAATGCATGTTCTGAACATGTATTTTAAAGCAGAGCTAAGGAGAACGTTCTCTTTTTTGTTTAAATTTTAGAGTTAGAGATTATTTGTGGTTTTAGCAAAAATAACTCTTAAGAATTGAGAAATATTTCAGCAGAAATGAATGTCAGAATTGACAGATAATCCGCAAATTTATACAGCCCTTTTCCACAGTAAAATTTTATCCAAGCTACTAAGAAACGTTGCCAGTTAGAACTTCACCTCACATTTCCCCTGGTCTCCTTTTGGTTTTGAAGGATAGTGAGCATCTAAATATTCCACAGATTATCTGGTTATTAACCTTGCTAGTTTCGTGAACTTTTAATTTTTTTTCATATTCTGCGTTTTTAGATCCCATCTTTACGTTCTTTTTCTTTCCCTAGGACATTTAGTTTACTCTGCATACAGGATTTTTGGTGATTCTTCACCTAATACATGTTTGTGTAGTTTTATTTAAACAGTACTTGGATGGGTAGCATATTCTCAAGACGTTTTCATTACTGAATGTCAATATATTTAGGCTGTTGTAAAGTAAATTTGGCCTCAGATTTTAAATATGTTATTATGTGTTGTCAAATTAATTATCCTTCAATCTGAGTTACTGTTGGTGTTGTAGCAGTAGTACTATGTAAATGTTTTTAGTGTTTTGATGTGCTTATTTACCCTTCTGTCTAAATGTGGTGGTAATGATTAGTATTGTCTCAGCATAGCTTTTTTTTTTCTTTATGTACTAACCAGCATGTCTAGTTACTAAGGGTTGTTTCTTAAAAAATTTTTTTAGGTTTGTGAGAGTTTTTTTTTTTTTAATCAAAACCTACAACATTTTATTAAAGAGCCTTCTATATACAGAGTATCAATGAATGAGAACAACTTTCATAGTGAAGTGAGTTATTTTTAGCATTACAATGAGTATTAATGCATATATATTGCTTTAAGTTATTGCTTCTTTAAACAGTGAACCCCTTTCATATTTTTATCTTGGTAATTGTAGATTGTAGATTGGATGAATTGAAACAACCTTTTGGTTAAATGACCCTTTTATTAATAAATTGTTTTCCTTTGTCAACTCAATGTTAATAGAAAACTACCAGTAAACTGAATTTTGTGATCTATTCTTTTTGACTTTTTCTGAGTACTGTTTGGCCATTAAATCTCATTCAAATGAGATAAAGTGGTAAACATATTAGTGTTCACTTCTAGTTTAATAATTGTTAATACATTGTTGCCCACATGAGCATTTGGTATCAATTTCCTATAAATTGTGTCCTTTCCAGAAAGAAGTTGGAGTATGTTTCCAGCTACCCGATGATTTGTTAGGATACTTGATCTAACAATCGGTTAATATATTATGCACTTACTTGCATAGAGTAATTTCTATTTCATAACAGTAATCAAAGAAGGTCACTTTTGAAAAAGCTTATCCCATGAAACTCAGTGCACAATTAACATGGTATGTAGAGCAGTCTTATTCCTTGTAAATTTAGGAGTGATGTTTTTAAAAGTAAAATTGTCAACTTAAAAAAATAATAACCTTGTTTCATAAACAAGGGTTTTCCTGGAGAGCTGTGCAAATTTAGATATATAATAACTTTTTTAAAGGAAACCTGTGAATAATACTTATATGTAGAACACACAGTTATTCCACATTTGTTTTATTTCAGTTCCACTTGACAACATTACCTTAAAGGTAGACATACCATTAAGATAGACAACAGCAAAGATAAAATATCCAGGACCTCCTTGGTATTTCTGTTAATCTACTTTTTAAAAGTCTTTCCTTAGAATTTGAAAATTTCATTGCATGAAAGTGAATGTGATAGTAAATTTAAATCTTCCCCAAGCAATATAACTGCACGATTAAACTAAGTGTACTTGGGTTTTTGTAAATAAAATTAACCAGTTGGCTAAGCACTACTTTGCTTTAGATTTGCTCTTGAGAAATGAACTTAGAGAAGGTTCTGCAGGTTTTTGTTTTGTTTTCATTTGCAAACTGTTCTTTGCATACTTATGTTTGTGGTCCTTGTAACTGACTTCTGCTTTTTGTTTGTTTCCTTTCCTTTCCTTTATCTGTTTTACTTCCCCCATACTGTGTTGTTTCCATTGCTACCAGTTTCCATTGCTCCACCCCCTCCCCCTATGCCTCAGTTGACTCCACAGATACCTCTCACAGGCTTCGTGGCCAGGGTGCAGGAAAACAGTAAGTTTGGAAAAACTGAGCTATCAAAGGGTAGAGGCTGCCTTCTTATAGCATGCATGGCTGATGAGTCATCATTTTCCTTTTATTGAGAAGCTAATCTCATCATGAAAAATAGGTGCAGATATGTTACTGAAACTGAAGAGCACGGTCTTCAGTTTTTTCTCGTATGCATGATTACTGACCCATATAAATTTGAAAACTGCATTTTCTTACATATTTACATGATCTCTAAAACATGAAGTCTGATCTTCATAGATTCTTAAGGAAAGCATAATCAAACACAAAAGTTCAGATGCTGTGTTATTAGAAGAATTAGAAAACATTTTGTTTTCTATTGTCCTCTTATTCAGTTGGGTTTTTTCCCAATCAGTTAGAAAAGAATATTTGGAAAAAGCTCTGTAGCCTCAGATTTTTAAACTTTAGTAATTTTGAACCTCTGTAAAGATTCACTGTTAGGATAAAAATGAATCGGCAAGAAGGAGTAAACTGCATCCATGCCATATGTCCATTTTAAGATGACAATTGACGTAGGGCCCTCTTCATGTTTTGGCTGCATGCGGCCCCCTGAGGATGGTTCTTGAATGTGCCCATCTGTCAGCCTTAGGTCTTCTCTGAAGGAAGGTCAGGCTCAAAGATTTTTGGAAATTCTTTTGAATGTATGGATTTAATTTGGATAGAGTAGTTTATATTACTACCTGATTATTTTGAGGTTCTGGAAAATGTAAAATCCTAACTGCATGATCATAATGAATGTTATTTGGCGAAATGAAAAATACCACTATTACTGAATTATATTATGCCAAAGCAGTTGTTGAGATTAACATGGTAAGTGGTCTAGTAATTTACTTCATTTGGGACCAGCACCATGCAAATAAATCTCAGAATGGCCTGAATAAATTTAACCCTCTTGACTAGCCCATTTTTCAGGAAAATACATTGTGGCAGATTCCATTGTTCAGCTTTTACTGACCCTGTTGTGTTACTCCCCACATTTCCTTGCTTCTTGCAGTCAAATATTTGTTTATTCAGTGTCATGTGCTAGGCTCTGGGAAGAATATAAATAGTCTGATTAAAGTCCCTCTCTTTGAGAAATGTATGATTTCATGGGCTTTTTATAAAACACTGTAGTTTCAGAATGTTGAAGTTTCTGAGTGTAAATTATCCTTTTAACATTTGTTTGAAAACTGTGTTTAAACATATAGAAATAAGAGTCTTAATTTTAAAAATAAGTCAATTTGGGTAAATTGCTGGTCCTTAATGCTGTAAGAACTTAAAAATTAAGCCTGCAAGAGTTTAAAAACTTAGCCAGTTCAACCTTTTGAACTGCCTTAGAGCCAAAAATGTTTAGGAAATATTTTTAGCCACTATAAACATCCATTTAATGGGTCTAAAGCTCATTGACTATTTTGGTAACTTTTAAAACACTCATTATTAATAATGTACATAATTTTAGGCATGCATGGTCTTTGCTAAAGAAGCCCATGGTACATTTTTTAGTTCTTTTCCCCCAAACATATCAACTTGAGTCATTTATTCTCCTTGTGCTGCAGAATGCCCAACTTTATTTGGCATGTTTTCTTTGAAAGCATCTTAGGAAGATTGGTGATAAACTACATACTAATATCTTAAATGTTTAAGTACAAATTTTCTGTGTTCTTTTTTCTCTTAAATACTCAGTTTCTAATGACCCTCAGTTGATGATAATGAATGCATATAGCAGTTAACCTGTTAGTTTTAATGTGTTTCAATTTAAGACATGAGCCTCTTTAAATTTAAAAGTCAGCAGTGTGTTTACATCCGTTTATGATTAACATCAGAAAGCATTTTTTCGACCTACACATGGTGTTAGACAACGTATTATGCACAGAGAATTATATTGACCGGACTGCCGCCCCTGTGTGTATAATTTGAAGATAAGTCAATGTAGATTCACAGACAGCAGTTGGACATAAAAACAATTGAGTGAAAACAATAAGCCAGTAAGTTATATATAAATCAAGTATACATAACTTGATTTAGGATATGAGCTATGTTTCTTAGATGTCAGGATCGATTCATACCCAGTTTATTCTCTCAATAATAAAAGAAAGCTTTATGAGAAGGTATGGGCAAAAATAAAATGGGTTCAGCAATTCAATGGAAAATTAAGTTATAGACCTGTTTGATAGCTATCAAAATGAACATAACCATGCAGGATTTGTTTTCTAATAGTCTTTTTCATCCCCCAACAGGATAAAATAGAAATGACAGAATTGAAGTGGTTATAGAAGTAGGGCTTTTATTTACATATGCTTTAAATCTGGATCCCTTGGTTGTATTCTCAGCACCTTATTCCAAATAGGGTGGAGTAAACTTTAAAACCTGTATTACAAATAGATTATGCCTGCTTTCTTTGATCATATTAAGCAGTCCCAGAAATCATCATTTGAGTTAGATGTTGGTATTAAGAATTTCTCCCCTGAAGATACTATATAATTCCTCTTATCAGTTTGTATCAGAGCATTTTCATGTCTTTAGTTCTTTAAGGAATTTGTGGATCAGAAATTTAATTATTAGTTGTGTTCCAGCCTTGAATTCCTTAATATTTGAAGCATTTGTTATCTAGTTTTATAATAGTTAAGTGAGCACTGATATTTTCTCATTTCACTCTTTATACCTTTACATACATATTAAATTATATAACAGCCATCTAGAATTTGAGATATGAGTCATTTTTACTGTTTTGCATGGTATAAGTTCCTTTTTTAAAAAAAATTTCATCTTCCTGCAATAGTTTATTTTTAAAATGTTTGTTGTGGGTGTATTCTAAGAAAATTGGATCTTTTGGATTAGGTTTTTCCTTATCCCATGCTTATGTTTTATTGTCATTAATGCAAAAATCTTAGCTTGCTTTCTACATTAAAAACATTATGAATGCATACACTTCAAAAAATATTCAGTGAGACTTTCTGCTAGCTTAGAATTATTTATTTTTTATTTTACCTTAAAATTTAAATAGAAAACCTACACATAGGAGCACACCTAATACCACCAACTTTTTTTTCCCAATTAAATAAAAATAAATATATACACACCAGAGACTTGTCTCAGGGGAACTAAAGATAACTAAAACACCATATCACGATGTGAATATGCACTGTGAATGGTTATCAAACCATTAATGTAATTTTATTAATAGCATTGACTGTAGTCCAAAATGACAAATGTGCTAAGGTTTATTTGGGGGGTAGGCTAATTAAAGAGTTGTATTTGTTCTGACCTGCTCCTCAGAATAAGGAAATTTATTTACTCCTATAGTCCTTGCAAAAAGAGACGTTGTCTCCTAACCCCCTGCATTCATTAATTTGTAGTACTTCCTAATACCCTTATTGTGCTTATTTTATTATTACAAAATTATTAAGATTTGTAGAAGCTTTAACACTCAAAGCTTTTATTTCTAATCATTGCATGTTTTACTATAGTGCATGCTATATATGACTTAGAGCTTTCTTGAATTCTGTTAACTCAGGAATTTTCATTTAGTTTAATTTCTGATTCAAATTAAATATCTGAATTTCTTTAGTTGCTGACAGTCCAACTCCACCACCCCCACCTCCACCAGATGACATTCCCATGTTTGATGACTCTCCACCTCCACCTCCACCACCTCCAGTGGATTATGAAGATGAGGAGGCTGCAGTAGTTCAGTATAATGATCCATATGCAGATGGGGATCCTGCTTGGGCCCCCAAGAATTACATTGAGAAAGGTAAGATACACTCATTGAATTGGTGTAAGTCGGATAACCTAATTATAGAATTTTAGAGCAATAAAAAAATCTAGTCCCGTTCTGAACCTTTTGAATAGCTTTACCAGCTAAGATGATTTAGTTAAGCCTTAATCCTTATATGTTGCCAATATAAAGAGAGGATTCTTTATTTTTTTAATTAAAAGTATATTATAATGTTAGATGAGCTGTTTTCAAATGATATACTTCCTGCAGGAGATTAACTTGTCTGTCTGCATTTTGTAGATGAAACAACTAAGGCACAGAAAAGAAGTCAGATGACTTACTAATGTCACATAATTAGTAAAGATTTAAAACAAAATTTCTAAGCTCTTACAATAAAATTAGAAACTTTTCATATTTAAATGTTTAAAAATGTATTGGGGTGGGGAGGGAGGGAGAAGGGGATTGAGGGGTATTATGTTTAGTACACATGGTGTAGGGGATCACACGGAGAACAGTGTAGCACAGAGAAGGCACATAGTGAATCTGTGGCATCTTACTACACTGATGGACAGTGACTGCATTGGGGTATGGGGGGACTTGATAATATGGGTAAATGTAGTAATCACATTGTTTTTCATGGAAACCTTCATAAGAGTGTATATCAATAATACCTTAATAAAAATAAGTAAAAAAAATATTGGGACATCATGAGAAAAAGCTTGATTAAGGTTTTTGATTTATATGATCTTGTAAAAGATAATCACATGATTTTATTTCATAAAATTATGTATAACTCCAATGTCCAAATTTACCTAAATTGCCTGACATTTACTATAATTATCTATTAAGAAATGGTGGGAAAGAAACAAATCCTGTTTTTAGAGTTAATTTGCTTTTTCCCCTCCAATTCTGTGCTATTTTAAAATCTGTATTTGTATGGCATTCTGAAAAATGCTTGTAATCTGGTTGGTCACATTTGATTGCCTTTGAAATGTACTCCCTTCCATTGGCTTTACTGGATTAATGGATTTTAAGCAAGTAGCTATAGCTCTTGAGATGTGTGGCATATTCTCCTGCCTTTGTGTTGAATACATGGCTACAAGTAAATTGACTACTTTCCTTTTTTATGTTTTAAGCAGTAAATATTAGACATATTGTTCAGAAAGTCTTGAATATTTTACATTTATATTCTCATGTACCTTCAGATAGAGGTATGTTGTAATTATTATAAGTGTGATAAACTTGAGACTTCTTGAATTGCTTTTCCCTGTATTTTCTGGCTTAAAAAAGCAAATTTAAGTAACTAGTGAAGTGGGACTATTTATATATAAGTTGACAAATTTGGGAAGGATACAGTGAGACTTTCTACTAGCTTTATATACACGTGGCAACAGGCCAGGATTAAGAAATTTATCTTCACAAGTTGAAATAATGAGTCTTAAACCTGGGGTCATCACATATTTTTTTGTGAAAGACCAGCTTAAGTTTTTTTTTTTTAATTAAGGCACCATTGATACACAATCTTATGAAGGTTTCACATGAGCAACATTGTGGTTTCAACATTCACCATATTATCAAGCTCCCCCCACACCATATCGCAATCACTGTCCATCAGTATAGTAATATGCTAGAGTCACTACTTGTCTTCTCTGTGCTATACTGCCTTCCCTGTGATCCCCCTACATTATGTGTGCTAATTATAATGCTTCTTAATCCCCTTCTCCCTCCCTCCCCACCCACCATCCACACCCCCTTCCCTTTGGTAACTGCTAGTCCTTTCTTGGAGTCTGTGAGTCTATTGCTGTTTTGTTCCTTCAGTTTTGCTTTGTTGTTATACTCCACAAATGAGTGAAATCATTTGGTATTTGTCTTTGCCTGGCCAGATTAAGTATTTTTTACCTTTATGAAATTGAGGTATAATTGACCTAACATTAGTTTCAGGTGTACACTGTTAACTTTGCTGGCCATACAGTCTCTTGTCACAACTATTGTAGTTGAAAAGCAGCCATAGGCAATACACAAGTGAGTGGATGTGACCAGGTTCCAATAAAACTTTATTTACAAAACAGGCAGTGTTTTAGATTTGGCCATGGGCCATTGTTTGCTGACCACTTAGTCTAAATCAGTGAGTTGAGATTTAGTAGGATTATGTTAAAAGCCTTTAATAATCTTCTTTATGAATCACATGATGAATAAAACCTGGCTTAATAGGATTTCAGTTGTTGACCAGCAGTATTAAGTGTATTTTCATATTAGATATCTTGTGTTGTTCTTTGGTTTACTGACTGCTTGTGTCGCTTAGCCCAATAGTCATTTTCAAAAATGTTTTTCATATGGTCACTACTTAGTTGATATTTGAACAAATGAAACATCTAGTAAATCCTAAAATTCAGAGATCCTTCTTAAATAGATTGGTAGACTCTACTGACTTATCTGGTCTAATCAGATTGTCAAGTTAGCCCTAAGACCTAGCAGTGATTTAGGCACACGGTTGGCCACTGCCCTATGTATGTTTATCAATGTAAGGATTTAAAACATTCATAGAAATAGTTGGTTTGTTATACTATAGATTTTAATTGACATTACATTTAAAAACTTTAAATATTGGATATAGTGCACTCACGTGATACTTCAACTCTTTTCTCCATAGTTGTGGCAATATATGATTATACAAAAGACAAGGATGATGAGCTATCGTTTATGGAGGGTGCAATCATTTATGTAATAAAGAAGAATGATGATGGCTGGTATGAAGGAGTCTGCAATCGAGTGACTGGTCTGTTCCCTGGGAACTATGTTGAATCAATCATGCACTATGCTGATTAATTTTTTTTTTTTTTTTGCTTTTAAAGTAGGTTATTATTACTCAGTCATACTGTGGGACTATTACGGTTAACAGAATTGTCTTCAAATGTTCCCATATTTTTAGGACATGCTCTTTTATTAGTATAATTGAATGTCTACCTATAAGCATACATCTTTGAGGCAGATTGTGTATTGCTAAACAGCAATTTATACAAGAGGCTGTCCACAACTGATTATGCTTTATATAATTACTTACATTGTTAACTTTATGACCAGCCTAAATATTGTGGGGGTGTAGGGTATAATATTTAACAAATGATTCCAATTGTGCCATTACATGTTTCAGTGCAGCATGGTTACTAATGCTATGTCAGACTAATATTAAAATCAGAAAACTTAAATGCTGGTGCTGGTCATGCTTTTTAGACTCTCATTCTTGAAATATACTATTTGTTTAAAGCATGCATACAAATTTATGTATTGAAATATACTTTAAAAATCCAAGGCGCTTCCAGTTTGTGTAATATTTACTTGGAGTACTCATACTTAAAATCTGTTGAAATGAATTGAGTCTCTGAGGGTCTCCTTGTGAAACAAAACTAACAAAAAAGGGGTTATCTGTAATGTGGGTAATTTGTACCTAGGTTTTTTAATGAGTGAATTTGCATTATAAAGTTTTTCCATTCATAAATAAGTGAACAAAAGGTTTTTGTCCTTTCCTTCACTTGTTTGCTTTAAAAAATAAATAAAAGATACTGATTTATTGCAAATTTGGTTCTGTTTTCTCAATATTATCCTAGAAAAAATATTTTAGCCTTATCTCAACCTGTCCCAACAGCAATGGCTGATTTTTGCAGATTTAAGACCTGAGATGGTCATTTACAAGTCAGTAGGACTAAATCCTTTTCTAAAGTAACTTTTCAATGCTGAGAAAATGTGTCCAAAGTGTGCACATTCTGTAAATAAAATTCCCACGGATTGCTGAGTCTTTCTGTTTTCCAGTGGACTGTTGTATACTGGTTCAATGAAAGGAAATTATCTTTTACATATTTTTTTTGTAGAAGTGGGTGCAGCTGATTTTTGAATAGGCACTATTTAACCCATTACCTGGCACTAGCAACATAAAAGGATTTTAAAAATTACAAAATTGGGAAAAAAGATGGGTCATATATTAATTGGTGAGCAGGGATATATCTGACAATAGATTTGTATTATCTTTTGACATAATTGAAATGCAATACATGCACTTTGTCTCCTTTTAATTTGAGGGTTCGAGGGATATTGTTCTCTTATCTTGTGTATAGTTCTATATTGCCTAGGATATTATAGAGCACTCGAATGTGGGTTTTTGTGTATTGAAGATTTGTTTGGATTTCACATCAGTTATGTATTGGCCGTTAGACTTTAAACAGCATAGTAAATGGTAAGACTAGTGCAAAACATTTCTGAAAATTAAAGACCATTATTGCTACCAACTCAATATGACTGTTGCATATGCATTCTCCCTGTTAATTTTAAACATGATTTCAGTACCACTAGTGACCAGCTAGCAACTTTCATTTTTCCAAGTGGAATGTTCTCTTAGTTTTGTGTATATAACCTGTTGTCTAAATTTTATGTACAGTCTTTTATAATAAACCATTCTCCTATATGAAATTTTGGATACTGTTAAAACCTAATGTGGACTGAAATGTAGACTTCATGGTTTTGTGACCTTTACTCCTATGGTGAAACAAGATAAACCATTTGAATTTTAACATTATTTATTTCTGTAATGGCTTTACATGTGGATATTAACAGTGTAAACAATACCACATAAAACCATCAAGATACCTCAACTAGAATTTACAGAACTAGAATGACAGATACAGATGCTTTAATTACATTAAAAAAGTTTTCTGAAAGACTTTGACAATAAAAAAAAAATTTTGCCCACCAGTAAGGTTGAAATGATTTTTTAAAATGATTTTTGGTTATCTGCACATGAAGCATAGTATATTCCACAAAATACTTTAGGCACAGTCTGGTAAAATAGCTGCCAGAAACAAGAGAAAGAATTGTCATTTATCTCTTGTGAGCACAATTTCTGAAAGTTGAATGAGGGCATCTCTTTCTGGGGATGGTCGAAGCTTGCTGATCTCTCTCACTGCTTCATGGCAGTGCCGCTGGGCGAGGTAGGCTGTTTGCTGCACACCATCACTCTGTGGGAACAGAACGGATGCACATCACCTGCTGGATCAGCTCTGAAATTCCTACTGTGATGAATTAGAACATACTTCTAGATCAGGTTAGTAAATGGCCAAACTGTGTTTCTGATGTTCTCGCTCCAACTCATAGTTCTGGCTTCTGTGGCCCACTTCTTTTGAGGTCCTTTTCTCAGACGGAAGCAAATTTTTATTCTGTTAGCATACAAAGCACCTAACTCAGTATCAAGTGCTAATTTCCCTTTTAGTTTTTTTTTTTAAGTTTTTATATATAAAAATTCATAAGTGAAAAATCTGAAGTGAAAGCTTAAAAAATACAACATATACATAATAAAGGTACAGACGAGGTTATGATGTTTCCTTCCTCCAAAGGCACCAGCTGTTTTTGTTGGTTTTACTGTATCGATTTTAGTTACTATCTATTGCTTTTTTGCTAAGAAAGATGAGGATTTGGTACACTTAATGCTTCCTGATTTGATTATCATATTCCTGTCTTTTGTTCTTCTGTTGATGACCTTTGTCATGATGTAGAACCAACTTCTGAGTTTATCTGGTATATGTAAGATGAGGATAACAGTGCTTCTGTTCTTCCCTCTCACTCTACCTTTGCACTGTAGAGATTTGCATCCTATTCTGTACCCATGTTTTTATGTTGGTTCTTTCTAAAAGCTGAACGCTAATACTATTACCATGACGTAAAAATATTTATAGCAGAATCAAGTCATATAGTGTAATTTGATAGCCTTCTCCATGGTTCAAGTTAATGATCCCTTTGTCTCAATATTCCTAATAGGTTGAAAGGCTCTGACTTTCTATACTTTATCAATTGACACAAAATATGACACACTTTTGTTTGTTATGCCTTATTGTATAGGAGCTCTCTTCTGAATGTAACTGCTTCTCCTCTTTGGGAAAGGAGCTTCTATTTCCTGACACTCCAGTGCCATAATTGTTATTCTGTACAGACTCACTGCTTTCTAGCTCTAATGTATGACTGCAGTCCCGGCGTGATTTCTCAGTCAACTCTTTGGTCTTTTCCACTGGTTTTAGTACCTACATCTTTCTCTTTCTTGGTGTTTCCACATTTTTGCCAAACATCCAAACCTTACCCAGAAAATGTGTTTAAAAATTAATTTTTTAGTTCTTAAGTGATGATGACCTTTGCCTTCATATTTAATGGGTAGTTTGATTGGATATGGAATTTTAGGTTTAAAATATATCCTTATCATTTTGAAGTCTGTGCTCACTGCTTTCTAGCATCCAGTGTTTACAGTGAGCCAGTTTTTCTCTCTTCCTTCTCTAGGTGACCAGTTTTTTCCTTTGATTTTGTTTTTTGATTCTCTTTCTCAGGTATTTGTTACATGATTGTACTGATTCTCTTACGAGCTTTTTTCTTCCCTTGCTGTTTACATTTTACAATATTTCCTCAATTTCACATTCCAGTCCTTCTTTGGAGTTAGTTTTTCACAATTGTTTAAAATTTCTTAAATTTCATTCTCACTCACTGTTTAAAAAAAAATACTGTCCTTCCTGTTCTTGTTTTATGAATGCACTATTTTTTAATCCTATTTGTATCTTTCCTATTTGTTTATTTTGGTCTTACTCTTTTTCATTCAGCACGTTTAATCATCATATATTTAGTAATCCTGCTAAGTAAGTAAATCCTAGCTGTCCATATTTCTGTTTAATGAGGGATTAGGGATTAGGAACTCTGTGGGTGAAGGGGAGGCCAGAACGTTCACATCTTTGGAAAATTTGTTTAGAGAACATTCCTGTGCATGTTTTTCCTAAGTGCATTTCCGTCTAGACCTGATGGAACCTCACTGTTTTGTGTAAAAGCGACAATTTCCCTCTTTTCAGTCCCACTGGAGCCTTCAGTAGTAACATTTCTGACGCCAGAACTTCTCCCAGGCATACCAGCTTCTTTACCAGCTACAGCCCTTTCTCAGACTGAGCTTTTAATAGTACTGCCAAACTACTCTCCAAAAAGGTGGTAGCCCATATCAGATTACTGACTAATAGCATAGAGCATGGGATAAAATACTTCCTTTGAAGGGGTTTTGCTTTTTGGAAATCTGGAAGATAATTATTTAGGATTCTTTGAAGTTTGAACATTTGCATACTAAAAATTGCTCGCTCCATCTCATTCATTAGGTCTGCTGGCTCCAAATGACTTTGGATTTGGATCTTGGGAACAGGTTATTCTCAATAGTCATGAAAACTGGAAAAACACAAAAAGATCTGGCTTCAAAAGAAAAGTGAGGATACATGGCAATATAGCTGAATACAGGTGCATATCCTCTGAAGGTAAAACAGTTTAGTAGGCCTATGTTGGTTTAAAAGTTTTTTAAGTTACCTTTTCTTTAGTCACACCTTTATAGCAGTTATATATGGACTAGGAAAGACCAATTTTGAGTAGGCTATTCTAATAGTCGAGCTCTGGCCAGGATGAGGAGGCAAGGCTGGGTGCCTGGGAGAACAATGATGCTACTGATGGGTGTGGAGAAGACTGATTCCAAACCCATGTGTCTCGGCCCTGACTACACATTAAGATCACTTGGGTGGTTTTCAAAAAAATATTAATGTCCAAGCTCTACCCAAGACCTTTTAAATTAGAATCCCTGGGAAGAATTATAGAAGAAAAATGAAATTCTTTTTTCTGTTTTTTTCAAATTTAGAATTGACCAAACTTGGTCTTATATCTAAAACTTAATGTCACATTATTTGTGTGAAGAATTTTTCCACACTGTACCTGCTGTTGCCCTTTTTCTTTTTAAAGTAATCTTACCTGTAATACATATTGTCGAGCTCTGTCCACATCTCCTGGCAGACTGAACCGTCTCATTATCATAGCATTCATTTCTGGAAACTAACAAAATCTGTTTATTGCTCTTGGGAGAATCAAATATTTTAACACTAATTTATAATAAAAGGGAAAAGCAAAAAGGTTATTAAATGTTTAGATGACGTGGGGGAACAGTAAATTGTAGCAGTTAGAGAAGCAGAGCTAAGATATGCCCAGTTTCCATGCCAGGGACTGAGCTGGTGCACAGGAGAGGCAGCTGTTGATCCTTATCCATTCTGATGTTCTGTTCTTATCGTTGGTCCAGCACTGACTAAGAAAGAGGAAAGGAACAGAGTACACTTCTTTAAAAACCCTCATTGGGTTTTCAGCTCTCAATCTTCTCAAATTGCAGCAGAATCACCAGAGGCCTGTTGGACCTCTCCCAAAGCTGCTAATTCAGTAGGGGTGGGGCCTGAGTTGCATATTTAACAGGGCCCCTGGTGATGCTGAATCTGCTGGTCTCTGCCCACACTTCCAACTGACCTAGGATGAGCATGGGAATTAGGCATTCTCCTTTTAGTACTACATTGAGTGACATTGGAAAGCTACTGCAGTTTCCAAGCAGAGAGCACTAGGAGCAGAGTGCTGCCTCAGCAGCTGGTAGGGCAGATAGAGCAGTGGTACCCAATGGTTACTGAATACTGGCATCACTAGGAAAGGCTCACTGAACAGCTGCCTGGATCTGTGCCCAAAGACTGATTATATTGTCTTGGGGTTTGGCCTGGGCATCAGCATTTAAAAAACTCCCCAGATGCTTTTAATATGCAGCCAAGGTTGAGAACTAGTGAATTAGAGGAGACGAGAGATAGAGATACTAGTCAGGCTACTGGAGTAAATGAAAAAAGATCAGAGTTAAGCTGGGGGCTTAGAAGAAAACAGATACAAAATGCACTGAAGAAAACAATCTATACAATACTTAGCTACAACTGAGAACTGTCTCTGTTAACAGACCGAGGAAGCTAGGACACCAAATCACTTCATTTTCTAGACCCGAGCTCTAGTCCCGGTGCTGCTGCTGCTGAGTGAGTCCCTTAACCCCTTGGGTCGTAGCCACCTCATCATTATCTTGAGGGAGCTGGACTACATGAAGTGAATCCATGAGCTCTAACAGGCCATGGTTCCATGCAATAAAAGGTAGGATGGTATGTTTGGTCTTTGACACGTCAGCGTCTACAGCAGTCGCCAGTTTTTCCCTGGCAGGGAGCCTGAAGTTGTCCTGTACTCACTGTCACAGTATTAGTCACCCCAAAAGGAGAAACAGGGCACACATAGAATGACCTCAACCAGATGACAGCAGATGAGGAATTATCAATGTTCCTTTCAGGGAAAAATATGTGTCAGAACAAAGTTCTACACGTGTTGAGGTTGCTAACATGCTTATTAAGATCTGAAGAGCCAGCAACTGGTTAGTTCTTAAAAGCAGTCATTTGTTTCATAGTCTTTTAAGAATAAAATAATTGAAGTTTTATAGGAAATAAATTAGAAAAGCTCAAAGGAATCAATTTTAGAGATGAAAAGTCAAATCAAGTAGGAATTTAAGTTTCTTAACACCACATTCCAAAATTGGACTTCTGAAAGGCTGTATCCTCAAAGCTGATGGATCCGGGCCCTGGATATCTGGTAAAATTACCTTATTTATGGTATAGGAGCTTTTTCTACAACACCAAGTGTGGTAAAATGTGCTGATAGGGTGGTTTCTCTGATTCCTTTTACTATAAAAAGCATTGAGAAAGCAAAGTTTGAAAAAAAAATTTGCCCTTCAGTGTGATTACATCCTTCCTTTGAAACATGTAGTGTATGCAGTTTTAATATGCAAGTATCAAACTCTTCCCCTAGGCACATGTCCCCTTAATGTGATTTATCAAATTAGGGCCATGTTCCCTTATGTGGAGAAGAAATGAGAAACATCAGAAGAGTTGCCTGCTGGCAGATTTAGTGAGAAATAAAAAAATTTTTGTTTGCCCAGGGGCTTTTTTTAATACTAGGAAAACCACTTGTGAATGAATGAAATCCTATGAAATCTGTCTGTAAACACAAAGGTGACCAATAAACTGTAGTGAGCTTATGGAGACAGAACTCGGGTGACTGTGCACCAGCTAGTCACAGCAATAGCACGGCTACAGGCTGACATGTAGGGTCTGGTGACTTACAAATAAAAATAAGAAAGAGAAGCAGAGGAAAGGAAAAGATCTTTTAAAGGATACTTGAGAACTAATGTAATTTCACATAAAAAAATAAAAAGATATCTCCCATTTTGTTTCTGAAGACTTTAAAATCCAACCTATTCTTTAAAGATTTAACATGAAGTTTTTGTTCTTACAGAAAACATTTGCACACATATACATGGAAGGACACTGCCATCACCAGGACCTCTCTAGAAATCCTGAAACTTTGTTTAAATCCCTATACCAAATGTTATCAAGAAAACCCTTCAGAGATATGTCAAAAATAGTGAATTCCCCAAAGAGGGAGTTTCTGTCAAGTTGCTGGGTCAACCAAATTCCAATTTCAAGGCAACCCACGGTGCAATGTTGAAAAGCAGTTTCCCAAGGTTGCTTGTATCGGTCCAGTGAAACTCAGCCAGTGTTCCCATTTCCCAAATGGAAAAGTTCAAAGACTAATCTAATCTGCAAACAAAATTCACCCACCTAAGGAAAAAGATGATAAACATCTTACAGCTCAGCTCCATTCAGTGGGTAGGTTAATTACAAATGATGAAAGCCAACACAGACTGAGTGTCCATGGTGCATGTTCAGTGCCGGGGCACACCAGTGTGTTCTGTGTGAAGATCTACTGCGGTTCAGGCAAGATCACTGGGTACCAGTGCTTAACATTAGCACTGGGAATCAAATCACACGATACCGTGTAGGAAGATGAATTCTGGTCTTGAAAGACTTAGAGCATTTAACTGCCTCTTAATGCTGTTTACCAGACGTTTAATTTTGGCCAGGTTTGAGTATCACTTTCTTATTTGTAGATGGACACAATCCCTACTACAAAGAGTTGTTGTCAGATTAGAGATAATACATAAGAAAATCCTTTACAGACTATAAAAACAATGCCTCTTCATTAGAAGGAGATACTGCTCTGTTACTTCTGGAACTTGTTCTACACAAAGTCAATTTTAGCCCCATAAATCTTTGACAGATTTCTGGCAAAGAATCCCTTTTTAAACAGTTTTACTTTGTAGTAGAGTCTAACATAAACTTGATGTTTTATTTGAAAACAACTTATAAAAATTTAACTAACTTTTGGCCTCTGTGCCACAAGACAGAATAATCAGTCTGACTTAGAAAACAAGTCCTGACCAGCGTCACTTCCTGCTCAGCCTCATTCAGTGTTCCCTTTTCTGGGGCTGCAGTGTGCCTCTGTAGCTCCTTTTCCTGCTGCCTTATGTGCAGATGGGAAAAGTGCTGCCCGGTGAGGGTGAGTGTGTGCCTTGTGACACTGGAGTTTCCCAGTGAAATACACAACTGTGGTGTGAGGCACTGGAAACTTGTTCCTTTTCTGTGTTTTTTTCTTTTTTTTGTAATTGTCCAATCTCTTGTAGATTACTGACAAATGAATATGCAGGAGTGGTCCTTTTTTCCCCTTACTTTGTCCCACTAAATTTGAAGGTAGAATTATTCATTACTCCTTTATGTAGAGGAAAGCCAATGAAGATTTTTTTATTTGCTTTCTGTTTTTAGGAGTTTTTTTAAATTGAAGTATCATTGATACACAAATTTACATTGGTTTCAAATATACAACACAGTGGTTAAACAGTTAACCATATTATTAAATCCTCACTGCCACTACTGAAGTAACTATCTGTCAACATAGGAAGATGTTACAGAATCATTGGCTATATTCTCCATGCTGTACTATCCCCATGACCAACTTATGATTGAAATTTTTATGCTCCTTTATCCCCCTCAGTTTCCCCACCCAACCATCCCAACCCCTCTCTGTGGTAACCACTAGACACTTCTCAGTGTTTATGGGTCTACTGCTAATTCATGTTTTGCTTTGTTTTCCACAAATACGTGAAATCATAGGTTTTTGTCTTTCTCAGCCTGGCTATTTCTCAGCCTAGCTCCAACCACGTTGTTGCAAATGGCAGGATTCCTTTTTTATTGCTGAATACTATTCCATTGTGTGTATATATACACCACATCTTTAACCATTCATCTATTGATGGACACTTAGATTGCTTCCGTATCTTGGCCATTATATATAATGCAGCAATAAACAGGGATTCATGTATCTTTTCAACTCAGGGATTTTTTTCTTCGGCTAAATACCTAGAAGTGGAATTACTGGGTCAAATAGTATTTTTTTTTTTTTTAGGAACCTCCATACTGCTTTCTATAGCAGCTACACCAGTGTACATTCCCATGAACAGTATAGGAGGGTTCACATTTCTCCACATCCTTGCCATACTTACTATTTCTTGTTTTTTGGATAGTGGCCATTCTAATCAGTGTGAGGTGCTATCTCATTGTGAATTTTATTTGCATTTCCCTAATGATTAACAATGTGGAGGATCTTTTCATGTGCCTATTGGCCAACTGCACTTCTTCCTTGGAAAAGTGTCTATTCAGGTCCTCTGCCCATTTTTTAATCGAGTTAATGTTTTTTTGGTGTTGAGTCATATGAGTTCTTTATATATTTTGGATGTTAACCCCTTATCAGATAAATAATTTGTGAATATATTCTCCCATATTGTAGGTTGCCTTTTTGTTCTGAGAGTGTCCTTTGCTGTACAGAAGCTTTTTAGTTCGATGTGGTCCCATGTGTTAATTTTTTAATTTTGTTTCCCTTGCCTGAGGAGATGTGTCCAGGAAAAAATTGCTTATACTTATGTTCAAGAGATTTTACCTATGTTTCCTTCTAAGAGTTTTATGGTTTCATGTCTTAATTCAGGTCTTCCATCCATTTTGAATTTACTTTTGTTTATGGAGTTAGCCAGTAATCCAGTTTCAATCTCTTGCAGGTAGAGCTGTCCAGTTTTCCCAACACCAGTTATTGAAGAGGTAGTATTT